TTTCTGCTCCCATCCCTCTTGAGGGGTCAAGTTCTTGTCGAGGGGTTCTGGGACTGTTTGCGATCGGTAGGTCTCCCTTTTTCTTTCCTTCTGTGTTACATTCTTCCCTCCTGCAAAACCCGGCTCGGGCTAACGAAATCCCACATTCAGGAAATCAATAATGAAACACGTCGAGAAGCAAGGAACCCTTGAGACGCAACAGCAACTGGCGGTCATGCATCAGCGTCAGCAACAGCAGCCTTCACGAGGGGGAAGGTCGCAGCTCCCGCTTTCTGAAGGGTCGGATCGATCGATACATACGACGAATATAGTTCTTACACATCATGGCGGAGGGGGAAGTTTAGCCCCCGCAATCGCAGTCGCAATCCCAATCCCATTCGCACGCGCAAACGCAGGCTTTACCTCATTCACCGCACTCACCCACCCATACATCCCACACGTCGCATTTGTAAACCCCCACGGTCACACCTAGTCCGAACCGTAGCCCTCCGCCTTCTATAGCTCGTTGGAGGAGGACGGAGGGGAGGACGAGGACGCTGAACATGAGCATAGACAGGAGCATTTCGGAGCAGTTCCCGCTTTCAAGTCTGGGGAGGGGAGGAAGGGTAGGGAGTAGGAGCCGGGCGGGCGTGAAGAGTTGCGGCCTAACTGCCGCTGGAGGGAAGAGCGACGCTGGTGGAGGTGGAGCATGCTTGTGGGTGGAAGGGGAGGCACGACTGCGGGTGGTGGAGGGAGAAGCGCCCTTGTCGTAGGAGCCAGCTGGGAGAAACACACCGTCAGGAGCGAAGAGAACGATGCCGGCAAAGAAGAAAAATCTCTGCTGGGTGCGGCGATTTTGACACGCATAGGATGGGAGGATGGTGCTTCATATCGAGTTTGGTTGCTTCTTTCTATTTTTTCCTCTCCCTCGTCGTCGTCACCATTTGCCACCATCACACGCTCCTTGCTATCCGAGATAACCCTCCCGCATAAGCGTGCTATCATTCATGCACCTGCCGCGGCTTTTACCTACATTTCATCGAAGCAATACGGGCACCGCTCCCAGCTATAATCCCCCTTTACTTGAACCAAGCATTGCGCGCTGAACCCCGCCACGAGGACCAGAGCTCCCCAGCAGAGCCTGCGTACCTCTTCATTTCTAATCTCTCTCGCGGTCCACGCGGGGTCCCAAGGAAGCGTGGGCGAGCACGTGGAATTGGTTGGCGAGTCGCCAGCACCAGCACCACCGCTGACAGAATGGGCATCCTCACCAACGTTATGAGAATCGCCACCTGCGGCACCGCCAATTCGCGTATGAGAATCATTCGCGAACCCAACACAAGAACATTTTCTCTCGCCCTCCTCGCCGCCCCCGTCAAGTAAAACAACAGGGACCTGGCCTGGCGGGAAGCGCACCACGTCCCGATCGTGGGCATCTATACTCGTTAGTGATAATGATCGAATCAGTTCGTCAAGGGTTACCAGCGAGCGAGCGAAGCGGTCGGGCGTGTGGTCCGGATGGGCACAGGATTCAAAGAGGGCTAAAATCTGTAATGAGGCGGTCAGTCTGATGGATTGTACAGAGAGAACAACGGAATTAAGAGACGTTAGTAAGAATAAAAGCGGGGCAGAGGGGAATGGTAAGAGAAAGAGAGAGAAAGAAAAAGCAGATAGATTGTTGAAGAGAAAATATAAAAGAGAACGTAGAAAGATAAGAGAAGAAAGTTCAGGAGAAAAGCAGAGGGAATAAGACACTCAAATGTCAACAACAACGGGCAAGGCCCAAGTCCAACTCCAATCGCGAGAAATGACAAGAGAGAAAAGAAAGAACACCCACAGCAGCAGCCTCAACCAACCCAACATCCACCCACCCCCCTCTCCACGCATCATCCAACGCCCTCCCTGCATCCGCCCGCAAAACCAACGCCGCCCTCTTCCCCTCCGCACCCTCCTCCACCGAGCTCGACTTGATAAGTTCGCA